GAACATTTTGTAGTATTGTCTCACACAATCCATGCACAGAAGAAAAGAGCTGCTTTTCTTCCAAGCTTCATGTACATTTACCTTTGTTAAACTTCAGGCAACTCCTGGTGGACAAATCTTCCAGCTCGTTAAAGTATTTCTGAGTGGTGGCTCCTCATTCCTGTGTGCCCTGTTCACTTGGGACCACCCCTAAACTTTGTGAGGGTGTAGATGTAGACAAGCTTTGGCAGGTGTGGGCAAGGAGAGATGATAAGAGCATCCATCTGGACTTCTTGTAGGGTCTCTGAGCTCCCACTGCTTTCCAGGTGGGTGTCAGTGCCTACACAGGGCCTGGGTGTCTCTGTGTGGGTTTGGATCTGGTATGGGAGGCCAGTCAGGACAAAGAGAACTGTGTAGGTTGGACTGCAGCCTCCAGGGAATGAGCAGTAACTCCAAGGACTCCTGGTGAAATGGTAAATCTCCTCTATCCTTGGGAAAATGAGGAAGAATATGGAAGAACCCGCAGCCTGTTGGTTCTATAGCCTGTCTGCTATAGAGTGAGCACTGAAGATGAGGTTCCTCCTATTTATTGGGTACTTTAGATTGGTGAATTGTCCCTCTGGAGCAGGGCTGGTTTAGAGCAGATTCCTGCAGCTCAGTCCCTGGCCAGTGGCAGGGAGTGGTTTCTGTGTGCTGTGGGGCAGTGCTGCCCCTCAGGTGACTGCAGGAGCCTCTCTGCTGTGGGAAGCAGGGCAGTGCAGGCATGCTGGGATTAGATGATGATACTATTTCCCCTGAGGAAACCTTCAGCTCTGCTGAATTCCCTTGTCTGGGAGAGGAGCTGTCTGGCATTTATCCATAGCTGGGCCATGAGCTGAAAAGTTAAACCTCTTAAAATTACCATGCTGGGTTTCTGTGTGCTGGGATTTTCTTTCCTCTTCCACAGTGGACAAAAGGGAGAACATGCTGGGATTTCCTTGTTTAGCAGTCTTGGAGGCCAGGGCAGAGGTGCAGTCAGATATTCCTGGGGATGGTCTGCTCTGATAACTGAGTGTAAACCTGAAATGACATGGAACAAAACTTAAAGCTCTTCTTTTCAGTCTGCTTGAATTGCCCTTGTAAATAATAACTAAAGCTGAAGTATGGTTATTAATAAGGATAGGGCTAAAACCCACATGAAGTGTATTAAGCTGTGTTTGTGGGTTGTTTTGTTCTTCACTTTAAACATGAAGTTCCTTTTAACTTGGAGGAAATGGTTAAACAACGATTTACAGTGTAACAGTTGAGAAATTGAGAAGGGGATGGAATTTGTCAGATGTTTAAATCTGTTCTCTCTTCAGCGGGTTCCTGTGTATGTAACTAATGAACACTGAGGAGCAAAAGAAAAATCTGTTAAAGATTCAGCATTTCACAGATCTCCTTCAAAGATGTTGTGAAAATAAAAAGGGCTGGAAAAACACTGTAACTGTTGAAGAGTATTAACATGTGGGAAGGTCCAGAACCATGTGCAGAGGACACTGAAGGTTTGGACCTGTTGTGGCTCCACCAGCACTACCAGGGGACAGAGACAGAGCAGTGCCAGCAAAGCAGGGCAGTGTCACTGCAAATACTCTGCCCCAGCATTCCTGTTACCACTGTAATTTCAGTGATGTGGTGTGAGGACCTTCCTCCTTCCCCTGCTGTCATTTAGCCTGAGAAAAGCTCCAGTGGCAAGGAAAATGATGTGTAGAAGAGAAGTGAACTACTGGTAGTACAGGAGTAGATCAGAGAGTTTGCTTGAGTGACCACTGTGTGTATAAAACTTTGGATAAAAGCATGTGGGAATGTTTTGGTGCTTTGGAAAACAGGACCTTTGTTTTTTTGCTGGTGAGCAATGTTGAGCTGACTTCTAAATTCAGGATGTGGAATATCCTTAATATGAAGGATATGGCCACTGTTAAGCACAGTGGTGAGTGAGGCTGCAGTGGGAAGTGTGGATTATTGTTTGTTTTAATCAACTTGTCAGTTTGCCTTGTGGGGCTGAAATCATTCCAGCCTTTCTCGTTAGCTGAGCTGCAGGATTCTGTCAGCTCCCTGGTCCAGCCATACTGGCTGTAAAATCCAGGTTAGATTATTAATGCAGATGATGATGAACTTTTACACTGAATTTTTTGGCTCCTGCTGACTCCTGGATGGTGTGGCTGGGCAGCAGCTGCTTTTCCCAAAATTCAGCAATCCTGGGGACTGGAACGGTGGTAGGTCCTGTTTCTACTCTCACAGAGGAAGAAGGATGAGAGGGAGTATCCCAGCTTTTGATGTGCATCTCCCCAAGCAAACATGAATTGGCAGATCCAAAGCATTTTATTTAATTGGAATGATTTCTGGAGATGTAGGAAAAATAGCTCTGAGAGTCACCTGGTCTGTTTTACTTCTTTATCTCCAAAATCCAGTTTTCTGCAGTCCCTGAACATCAGACTAGAGAAGAAAAGCACAGAGTATTTGCCCAGTGCTGCTGTCTGGTCTCTCATGCTGGATTAGCCCAGTGTAGGGTCTGGTAGCTGGGGAATTTGAGGGAAGCAACATGAGGAATTATTTCTAATGGAAAAAGCAAAATAAGGACCAGACTATTCAAGTTATCAGGTCCAAAAAATCTCATCTGGACCAACAGGTTTGAGGACTCTTTAGAACCCAACTGGCAAGACCAGGGAAAATTTTACCTCCCTAGGAATACTTTACAGGGCCAATCCTGCAAATGCTTCCTGCTTGAAACTCTATTTGCCTTGTCAGATTAAGTCTGAGATTGCTTCCCAACCTATTCCAGGGTGAAGACTCATGGCTCTTTCCCTCTATAGGTTTCACAATTCCGAGGCAAATGTGAAACATAAGTCCTTTCCAATGGTTTAAATTATTTTCACGCTTGATGCCAGAAAGTTGGGATAATGTCGGGTGGTGATGGAACTGACTTCTTCTTACATATTTTTGGCACCAGCTGAAATGGTTGGCAGTCTTTCAGGAGCTCTGGTGTGGCTTTTAGTACCATGGCACCAGATTTACAACCCTTCTTCTAAATAATTAAAACCTATATTAAAAAAGGGGGCTGGGGCTACCTCCCAGCTGGAAGATTGGAACAAGGAGGGGAAGTCGTGGAGAGCATCGTAAGGGAGGCTGGAAGAACAAGTCACTGGAGCTTTTGCTGTCTCTGAACCAATTCTGACGAAGCCCAGCTTGTAACTGAAATGAAAAGGCAGCCCTTTGGACACCCCAGGGCAGAGTGGGGCTTGTAAATTTGTGTGCAGTTTGTAGGGCCAAGGAATAATGTCAGTTTTTTCCTGTGTAAACAGGAGCCCTTCTGGGAGGTGTCAGGGCATTTTATACTCTAAGCAGCGACCTTGCCTCAAGGGCAAAGTCTCTCTTGAAAGACCCCAAAAGAGGTGTCTCTTGTCTCTTTAGACACAAGGGACAGGACTGCTGCTGTGCTTTGCAGCCGTGGCAAAGGGAGACACCAACTTTTATTGCTTTATTCTTTTTCTGAGTGCACTTTTGAAATCAGTGCCCCTCTCTGAGCCATCCTGGTTTCCCCTGAATTCACTCAGTCTTTGTGGCTGTCAGAAGAGGGGGAGCTCTCATTCCCGTTGGCAGGAATTCCTCCTGCTGGAAATACTGGGCCAAAGGGATTTCCTGGGTGTACGTGAGGACTGGATTTGGCAGGGAGGGGTGGAAATGTACGATATCCAGTCTGAATGTAATGTATATTATAAATCATGTTAGTACAGTCAGCTGTTGAACATACAGCCTTCGCATGTACGTGCAGAGCGTTTCTTTGGAGAGTTGCCTGGCTGGCACAGGACGTGGGGAGAGGGGACCAGAGGAGTCTGGTTTCTTTTTCTGTGTCTAGGATTGGTGTTGGGACCTCTTGGTGGGCACCTTTACCTCTCAGGTGCACCACAGGCACCTCCTGGCAGGCCCATGAGGCCTCTTGTTAGCAGAAGTTGGATCAGACCTGTGGTATTCTCTCAGGGGGCTGCATGGGAGAGATGCACTTTGAGGCTTTTAATTGCAATATAAATAATCACTGGATTAGTGCAATGAAAAGGAAGTCAGAACTCCTTGTTGTGTGCAGTGTGTCATAACCTCAGTGTTGATTACTAAACCTGGAGGCTTTGTTAAGTTTTAAGGTGATACCTTCACTTTCACTGTCTTCTTTTTGTACCAGAAAAGGAGTGGAAAAAGCATAAAAGGACCTTTAAAACTCTGGGTTGGGAGCAGAGGACGGCTGTCTTGGGGCAGAACTGGCTTCCAAAGGTGCTCTTGCCAGCCCTGGTGTAAAGCCTGGACTTGGTGCAAGGAAGGCAGGGATTTAGTGCTCTGACCTGGAGCTTATGGAGTTATTGAGAGAAGGTCTTTGCCTTCCTTATGTTACTTATTTCAGGGATGGAGGAAACAGTCCTTTCCTGACTTGACCTCTGAACCCCAACCCATGGCTGGCAGGGAGAGCAGTGCTTATCATGTGGCCCATAATGTAGCCAAGAAGAGGTATTTGGTCCCCAAAGACTGTGTGTGGCTTTGCAGGTCCTCCCTTTGACATCAGTTCCCCCAGTGTTGTCTGCCAGAGCGACACGGGGAGGTGGTCTCCTGTTTGCAGTCTCACCTCTGTGCTCCACTAAGGCAGTAAATGCCATTTGATAACAGTGCAATCCTGGCAATTGGAAAGGTGATTTTAAAGGGTTTTTTTTTTATTTGTCCTCATGTGAGCATCTCATAAGACACGTGTTTGTGCTTCCAGCTGGAGTGGGGCTGTACCTGGAGGGAGAGGGAGAAGGGATGGCAAAGGTGTTTGATAAGACCCCCCACCTTTGTACATGTACAGTGCACACTGTTTCTAAATACTCAGTGATATCAAAAATGAATATGATGAAGTTCTTTAGTCTGTATTGTACAGGCTGAGAACGACCATAATAATTTCCCCCCACTGTAAATAGTGATTGCAGTGGAATGGTCTGGGCTCAGAGCGGGTTGATAGACAAGGTTTGGATACCAAACTGATGGGCATTTCTGCTCTCCTCTGTGCACAGGTTGGCTACATCCAGCTTGGATCAGAGCACATGCTGATACAGCCTGTGAATTCATCTGAGACCTCGTTCAGTGGGAAGGAACATTTCATCCGGCGGAGACGATCCCCGGAATCCGGCCATCCCGGGAAGCCACACGTTCCCGACGAGCACTGCAGGGTTGTAGCAGGTGAGCTCAAAGTGGCTCAAGAGAACATCCCTGCCTGTGTCTCTAAGGTTTTGTATCCCAGTTCTTGTGTTTAACCAGGCCTGTCCTTGCTCATAAGTTGTGTCCCGCCTGGCACTGCTGTTGGCAAATCCCGTAGCCAGGACTTTAATTTTCTCCTGTGTGGAGTTGAGCTCTTAATAGTTCAGCAGGTTTATCTTTCTCAGGGGTTCAGACTAAGCCAATCTTCTCTCTTTATTCTCTGAGTATGACATCTTGGTTCTGGTTAGAGTTACAGATCCCCTTTGTCTCTTTTTAGAGAAAACACCAGAATTCAGCACCACTCTGATTTCCCAGCCAAGTTCCATAGGTGCTGCAGCTCTGTGGTCATAGAAAATGCATTACAGAATTCTTACACTGTAAGATAAGACAGACTTTAGGTAAAAGCTGAATTGAACCAAAATGAGGGCAGGAAATCACCCTCATCCTTTTGCCATTGAACCTTTTGACCTTCTGTGTAGGGGCAGAGTGCTGCCTGTCCTTGGCAGAGCTGAAATTCCCTCTCTGGGAAGAAGGACTAAAGGAAGGAAACTGGGGAGACATTGGGTAATAAATTATACGAAATCACAAAGGGGAAGAGGAGTTGAGTGAGTGCAAAGATACTAAAAGGAGACACTGCAAAAAAGTGTTTCCAGTAGCACCTAGTGCTTCCTGAAGGGTTCTGAGGACCCACTGCTCTTTCCTGCTTTGTCCAAAGGGAATGTCCTCCTCAGGTGATGCCAGAGGTGACCATCAGAGCCTGGGGGACCTCATGGCATGGGCTGGGTGGGCATTTGGTCTGGCATGGTGTGACTGCACCTAAATCTGTGTCAGCAGAATTAATTACCTATCTGTCAGGTTCCTGATCCATGGAACTGGGATTTCCTATTGCAAGGAAAGTTGCTGTAGTCCTTCATGTTTTTTGGGCTGAGGGCACACGTGCACACATGTACACACATGTTCATACATGCAAACACTACAACCACATCTCAGGTCATGGCAAGGCCACTTGGGCTGAGTGTGTATTGGAGTTCTGGGGCAGAGGGAGGTTGATAGTCTGATATAAAATTTATTTAAGGCTATTCATCTTGTTCTGTGATGGATTTTTTCCAACCTGAGGCTAATTGAGGGGCTAAGCAAGGACTGGGATTTGGGGAGAACAGGGGCTTCTGACCCTTGGGTGAGACCAGGACAGCTTTAGTCCCTCCCTCAGCACTAGGTGAGCAAAATCAGAGACTGTGTCATTCCCTGCCCTGCCCTGGATCCCACAGCAGTTTGCAAACCAGTTGGGAACAGAATTCCTACCCCTTGGGTGCAGTTGGCTGTGCTAAAAAGGGAGCAAAGCCCCCTGCTGTGGGTGCACCACGGGCTGTGCTGCTCCTGCAAACAGCCCCTGCCCCGAGGAGCCCTGGCATAAAATAATGCAATTGCTCAGGGGCTCTGCCACTTAAAGGCAGACCCTGAATGTTTTCCATTGTTGCTGGAGAGAAATGTAAGTCATGGCCGTTAATAGGCTTAGCACGTTAACGACCTAATTGACTCCTGTCTGGTTTGGATTAACTTTCGTGCACAAGGAGTTTAGAAACAAAAAAAAATTAATCCTGTCTGACAGACAAAAGGCCCATTCCTAATGAAATTGTGTGGAAGTGATGACCTAGGGGGGTGCTTCCAGGGTTTCTCCTGGGAAAAGGTCTCTTTGCTGTGGCACTCACCAACATGGGCTGAGTGAGGGACTGATCAGATTTGCACCACAGGTTGTTTTCCACTTGTAATTTGGCTCAGCCAGGCTAAAGCTTGGCAGGAAGGGATGGAGGTTGTAAATACATGGGGAATATTCCTGTGCTGGATATTTTAGATACAAATCCTATGCTGTGGAACAACGTAATAAAATACATGTCTGTGTAAATACAGTATAAACTCAGTATTTTTCTAAGGCACAGAACTGCCATGGTTGGGCATTTTCCAGTCCTTTGCTGCTGTTCTTCTGTTTTCTGAACATGCAAGAATCACCTCAGTTCATATTTTCTTCTTAAAATCTTGTAATTCAGTGGTAACCGGTATAATCTGGGGTTATTTGGGAGTCAGATGAAATACAAAGAATCAGATGCTGAATTTTTGATGTTAATTACTGATCATGTCATAAAAATTTAAACAGGGCTAAATTGCTCAATGGCAAATTTCCCCTGATGTATGACCTTAATTACTAGTAAAACAAAGATGGTTGGTGATGTAATGACTTGTGTGAGCATTTGGAGGAGGAGGAGGAGGAAAACACTTTAAGAAAGCAAAATTACCTTGATCACGAAGTGCTACTGAGCTTGTGTTCCACCCAGAAATGTGGTGTTTTCCCTGGAAACCCCAGGGAAACTGAGCTGAGCAGTTCCCTGGGGCAGGGCAAGGTTTGATAAGTGGTGGTTGAAATCTCTAAAACAACTCCTTCAGTCTAAGTGGCGTAACATGTCCTACAGCACTCAGAATTATTTTTAGAGCTGCAGAAGGACTTTGTGGGAGCCAAATTTCTCCTGGAATAATCTGTGTAAGAGGATTAATCTGGCTGTAGTCAGGAATGGGAAAGTACTTAAGGTTTTGCATGACTGGATCCTTGAGATTTGAGTCTGAAAGTGTCCACTAATGGGTTAAAAAAAAAATAAATCCCAGGGCCGATGTTTTAATTCCTTTGTTTAAATTCCGAAGGGCTCCAGCGGCAGAGGAGGGATCCCATCACCACGGACCAGGTGCTATTGTCAGTCATATGATATGTGTATTATTTTTATCACCTGTCATCCAGCAAGAGAAGGAGTTCAAGTCACAATGCACATTTCTTCCCAGGCATGAACATGAGCCCCTGTGAGGCAAACAGAAAACCCATTAAAAGGTTTCCAGGTGCGCAGGCAGCGAGGGGGAAGGAAGGAAAGGTTGGGTTTCACTTGCTCTGAAGCTTGGAGACGTGAGGAACATGGGAAATAGCTTCACACCAGTGATGTGAGACACTTCTCATCTCTAGACACTGGGCTGCATCTGGGGTGCAAACCTGCCATCACACCCTGCTCTGATTTTAAGACCCAATTTGACAACTTTCCTGTCAAAGGTCCCTGAGAAGGGGTCTCTCTGTGGGGAGAGCGGAGCCACAGGGAGTTGTGTTTGTAGGTTTTGGTACATATGAGTAAGATTTTCTTTACAGATGAGCCAGGCAGGACAGAAGGATCTCTTCTGATGCATCATTTGTAATTTTTTGCAGTGCCCAACCCCCTGTAGCTCAGAATGGGGGTAGAAACCCCCTGAGATGGGGCTTCTTTCATTGCCCTGTCTCTCTGTGATCTTGTATCATATACACTAAAACTGTTGTTAAAATATGTGACAGTATCCACCAGAACCTCAGCTGCAATAAATATAGCTATGTTAACTATCATGGAGCAACAGTAATTTAACTACTGACTGAGATTTGGACACATACTTTGCATATTTTCTATACCATCAAAGATGGGGAAAAAAAATTCATTTTTTTCTTGATTTTGAGAAAATACCAATGTTAAAGACAGAGTCAAACCATGTTGTGAAAGCACAGGAATCTCCTCTAACTGTGTCATAAAACTTTCTGTTTCTTTGGGAAAAGTAAGTTCTGTTATAACTTTTCCAAAGGTCTCCGGTGATGTATTAAAGTCTCCTTACATAGAAGGGATTTGATATAAAATACAGTCCAGGAGCATGAGAGAGAGCAGCTTGTCTTTGGAGGGAAGGTTGTTATTTCATGTTTATGATACAGACCTCATAAATTACTCTTAAATGTGGGTTTGCTTTAAACCCTTATGTCAGTTTAAATGAACCAGTTTTCCTTTCATGCAAAGGTGCTGCACATACAGTGAAACAACGGGAAGATCAGTTTTTTAATTCACAAACTAATGCATTGCTTCTGTGTATAGTCGCTTTTCAACCTGTTTTAACAATTTATCAAAGCTGGTAATAATTTAAATAAGTGCTGGTGTGCAGGTATCAAATGTAGGGAAGGCTTTCCCTGAACAGGTATAAATCCTAAACACATGTTGCATTTCCCCATCCTTAATCATTGTCTCTTAGCTGTGTTTTCTCTGCAGGTTTGACTTGGCCTGAAATACCAGTTGTTATGGCCAAAAACACGTGCACTAAAAATAGAGAGATGTAATGCAACCTGTATTAGTCCATATTAGGAAGCAGCTGTTGAAGAATTAAAGCAGGATTTCAACAATGGGCTCTCCAGAAGATGTAATGTGATTAAGTGTTTGCAAGCACAGAAGGATTCCCTGTGTCAGAAATTCAGCTCTTTACCCACAGGAGTGTGTCTCACTTGAGTGGATAAATCCCTTGGTTTTTCCAGGTCCTTCCCTGGAGTTCCAAATGGGGAGTCTGGTTTTTCCCTGTGAGCCTGTGATTGTTTCCTCATGGCTGATAACCAGCAGCCTTTTGGGGCAGTCTGAAGTCAGAAGTGTCCTTTTCCATCACATGTGGCAAGTGAGGGTTTATTGCTGGTCTGGATTTGTTCTGGGTGGAGCCCTCAGTGAGGGCACTGTGGATAATGTGGAGCAGGAGGGGCTCCAGGTTCTTCTTCCTCTACTGTCAAGGTGCAAAGAGACACAGGAAGAGGATGTGTAAATACACACAGTCAGTGGGTTTCTTTCCCTCCCAGAGCAGCTGTACAGCTCATTTGCTTGGTTCCCAATAAACCTTAGTGTTGGTTTCCATTGGAATCCAATGAAATCCAACCTGGTGGGCAGTGAAGAGCTCGGGTGTGCAGTGTACCCTGTCCTTTTCCTGGGATATTCATGGATATTTCAGTGGTCATTCTGGCTGGAAATGCAGGCAGGTGACTCCAAGGAGACTAAACTATATTGCTCACCTTTTAGCTGTCTTTGTTTCTTCCATATTACAATTATCCCCAGTTCAAGCCCTGCTCTCTGAGCCTGCAAAAAATTGTCTTATTTGTCTGCCACGAGGGAGTCCTTGTTTCTCCC